GGGCAGAGCAGCTCTGGAAGCAAACCCAGCCCCTTGCAGCCCCCCCCCAGCTGCTGGGGGTCCGTACCAAACCTCCCCGTGGTCTCACGGCCGCAGGGCTCGGTGCTGCAGCCAGGGAGCACGATTGCCACGTGCTGTTGCTCATCGCAGCGTACAAGCTCTGTCGGTGCCGGAGCAAACGCCGTCAGCCCAGCGCGGTTCATCCTTGTTTAACCCAGCCACAGAGCCCGGCCCCGGGGCTGGCGCAGCCCCCAGGGTGCCCGCGGGGTTACACGTGCTGGTCCCCCTGCAGTGCCCCAAAAGGAGGGAACAAGGGCCAGGGTGACATTAAAGCACATTTCACCTGTGCCCCTGCCCAGCCCCGTCCAGGGAAATTCTTCAGGAGTAGACAAAACCCTCTGGTGCATCAAGCGCAGGACGCAACGTTATTAACTCGCCAGCCACGGGCTGGCAGAAAAGCAATCGTGGCTCTTTCCCCAAGACTGAGTCAGGGATAATTGAGTTGAACGGGGAGGAATTGCTGCTCTTGGTTGTCAGTTAGGAGATGATCTTCCACTCCTTCCATACTGATCTCATTTTGGGCTATTCAAACAGGCTTTTGAATTAAGAGATAAAGTTGTTTAAAAAGGCTCCAAAGCTCTCAGAAAAACTTGGAAAAATCTTGCTGTTTAAACACAATTCTTCTCCTGGTGTCAACGCTTCAGCTCTGCAGTGCGTGCGTTATGAACGCCTCGAGCCGGAGAGATGCCCGAAGAGACAGATTCGAGCTCATGCCAGGCAGCCCCGACATCCCGGCTCTGGCTGCCGTCCTTGTTGGACCACGAGCCCTCCCTGATGACTCTCAGCGGGGTGCAGGTCTCGCCTCCGGGTCTCTGATGGTCCCGTCCCGTCCTGTCCCGTCCCGTCCCATCCCATCCTGTCCTGTCCCATCCCGTCCCGTCCTGTCCCATCCCCCTGCAGCACAGGCAGCCCCGTCCCGGGGGGCAGGAGGTCATTGAGGGATCAGTGAAGTTCCTGTTACAGACAGCACAGCGTGCTGGCAGAAAATCAATGCTGAAATATGGCCGACTTTGCTCCCTCCTGTAAATAGCTCTTTTAAGACTGTTTTAAGGTGAAATTATTTCAGGTTGGGGAGGTCAAGTACACAGTGTGATACTGCTGAAAACGCCCCTCTGCATGAGCTGTGCCCCAATAACAGAGCCTCCTCCCCGGCGCTGCCTCGATCCGTGAACTAGCTCATCCTAAATGCAGGAGAGTCCAGGGTTCTCCTTCTACCCAAGCTCTGAGACATGAAATAAAAGATAAAAAACCTGCAACACTTGCAGTAAACCCACGAGAGATGGCAGTGCTGGTGGCGGGATTTTGGCCCATGCTTCATGGGAGCAGATACATCAGCCGGGTAGAAACAATAATCTTATCAAAACGCGGGCTTTGCTTCATAAATACGTCCAGGCTGGAGTGAAATACGCCGCTGCAGGGGGAGGGGGAGCAGGCAGCAGGGTATTTCAATTGATTAAGATGCCAATCACAGCAGGGCTGCCGTCATCTCATGAAGCACCAACAGCAACAGGTCCCAGCTCCTGCCATTGCAAAGGAAAACCCTTCAGCAGCAGCATCTGTGGAAGCCGAATCTCCCCGAGTGCTCCCTCCGTCCCCCTTCATCAGCTGCGGATGCCCCTGGGAACGGCGGGGCTGTGCCCACGAGAGCGGCCGGGGGCTCGGGGGCCCTGGGCATCACTGCTGCCTGCTGGGTCCCAGGGGGCACGGCAAGGGCAGAGTCAGGCCCTGGATGCTGATAAGAGCAGGTAGGTGTATCTAGCTTGGAGAGGACAAGAAACACTGGAAAACACCTGGAAACAACCAAATTATTAGAAGAAAGTTGATCCCAAGCCAGCACAGGACATGAAACTGGTTAAATGCAGAAAGCGAAGCCATCCAGTTCGTTCACATAAGCCAGCAATGAGTCTCTGGCTGGCTATGCTGACAGCAAACAGCTTACTGAAACAGCATATTTATTTTGAGTCTATTAATTCTTTTGTATAAAGGGATGCTGCCAAGACAACAGGTTCTTCCTCCCACTGAAATAATGCATATTCAGAAAGCTGGGAATTAATTTCTGTGAATTCGCACCTTAAGCTGCCAGCACATCTTTTGCAGA